CATCAATAAAGTGTGTAAAATTTAAGTATCACATCATCTCCCATTCCTAAAAAATTAACTCACGTTTTGGTGTTTCATGAAAAATGTAGTTGCAGCATGTGTGACGTGGACGAGGAATTTTTGTAAAAATAGAATCTCACTTTTTTATTTTTACTTAAACAACCATCTATGACACTATAACACTGACGTCACGTCCATAAACAATTCAGGTTTCTTTGTACGAAGTAGCCAACCTGTTCGATCGTCTTTGTCAAATTTCATTCCTGAACTTGTTTATCAAGTTTATTCACTTTATTATCTCAATAAAACCCAAAATGTAAAAGGAAACCAGTGTGGAAACTTACCACAAGACATTGTTCCGTAAAAAACAAAAACCTCGAGTCGGTTTATATTTACAAATTTAGCCTAATCAATTTAAAGCTTTTGCTAAAAGAACCCTCTCACAATTACTTACGGGAAAATTCCAGAAGCAATAAAAATTCATAAACATCCTAACATTGAATTTCTAAACATTGGATTTCTATTTTTACCTCCCACTGATTTGTCATTGTGTCGTCCCTGTCGATGCATTCTCCGTATTTCCTCCTTTGAGTCAGACGAGATTTAGCTCTGTTAAATTACGTATTTTCATTTCTTGATGATTATCCTCACGAAAATGAGTAAAACGTGAAAGCCATCATCTTCGAACAGATTACGTTTTAATCCCAGAAAAAGTCTCTCTGTTGTTGTATCTTTGGAAACTTTTATTTTGCGGTAGCATTAAAGTTTTCGTATTGTCCCAGCATTCCCTATCTCTACGTAATCAGAGCCTCTTGAGAGCTAATTTTCCATGTAATTATTAAATTAAATTTTCTATGCATAAACCCACACATCTCACAACTGCATGTTGAGCAATTCAGGAATGTTAATTAGAAAATTCAGACCAAGCAATGCATAAAATTTGGCACAAAATTTTGCACAACAATTTTTTATAATTATTGTGATCATTATGACGGCATAAAGCGCTTTAAACTGATCAAACAACAACATAGCGGCATCGAAATATTGTAGTATTGATGTTGAAATTTGAAAAAATGTGCCTGATTTTAAAAATACTTATTTGTTTTTTCCAGAATTAATGAGCACGACGTGTCCTTGTCGAAAAAGTCAAGAACAAATTTCCATTTCACGATTATTAACTTCATGTAAGAAATCGATTTGTGATGGCTCATTTGGAAAATGTCATCTTTTTGAGCTTCATTTCCATTCTAAAATGATCTAAAATAATGTTAAACTTACTTATGTTCGTTACAAAACACCTTTTTCGCTTGGTAGAATCACTATTATTATATTTCTAGTTTTTACTTTCTTGGTTCACTCTGTATACTGTGTGCTATGCGTCATGTAAGTTCCTGCTGTCTACAGAAATAACAGGAAAGCTAAATCCACACACTCCGTATTACAGATTTGTAAGCAGATATTAATCACACCCACTATAATAAGAACATGTTTTCGAACAGCCAAACACGACAAATGCCAACTTACTCATACAGTCTGAAGCTAAGGAATCCCCTAGAGCTTTTATTCCTACGTTTTTTCCCTCAAAAAAGAAAAGTCAATTTGTAACATTCCGCGCAACACTGAAGATGATTTAATTATTACGTCAAAACGGAATAGATCAAATACCAAACTGACATTTTTCAACTCCAAATATCCGAACAGGTTTTGCTGATGCAAATTTTATTTCCGTAATTTGACAAGTAACATAGACAATCTCGAACTCCAATAAATATTTCGCTTGGAATTGGGCCACTACAAACTTAACAAGAGGCAAAGACATCTGCTAAAATATTACTGCCATATAGGTTTGTTCAAAATCGGCTATAAATTTTTAAACTGTCGGAGAAACTAAGGAGAGCGAACAGAAAAATATGTGTAAGTAAATTCCATTACTTTCCCTCGCCCCTTAACTACAGTTCAAGAAATCCCATTCCTTGAAAAATTAAAAATGTGGACATCCAGCTTTTTTTTAATGACACTATATATTTTTTAGAATTCTTGTAGAGCTTGTTTTTCTGAATACATTAAAGCAGGATATTTTAATCACCCATACTCCGCCGCTGTCTATGATTCGAACGCATTATATTACGAAAACACGCTTGTCTATATGTCTGAAGTGACCATGATAGGGAAACGATTAATAATGTTTACGCTTAATAACAAGATTCTATGGGAAAAAAATCAAAGTGAGAGTGAAGAAAATTAATTTTTCTCTAGTTCCCAAACATACAGCAAAATTTATTGTTGCTGTACAATTTCGATTTTTTGCGAAAATTTGGATGTTTCTGTGAAAATTTGAAGACGAATTCATAAACAACAGATATAGGAGTATGTTATTTCACAAAACTTAAACCTCACTTACTATGAAAAATTTTGAAGGAATGTCAGCACATTGGTGGTAGAGATGGTTAGGAAAATTTTGCTTAGCGTTTTGCCATCTACATGATATTCTTAATATACATACAAAATTGAACAACAATCGGTCCAGTAGTTTCGGGGATTATCTGTCTAGTAAAAATCGACACAGATGGTCAGCCGGAGAAATAGACGACAGATAGACGGAAATGGAAGGCCACTTTTTTTATACTCTAGGGGTCATGAAACGTCGAGAAAACATGAAATTAACAAGTTGCCCGATGGACCCGATTACAATTTCATTACAAATTTCGATAACAAAAATTCTAAGAAAATATATTTAATATGAATCACTCATGGTGAAGCTATTATATACACTATGTCCCAAAAACTTGTAACAGATTTGATTCGAAATTTACGGAAAAGCTAATTTAAAACAACAGCGATTTTCGGGGTAATCTATATTTTATACACAAATTTGAAATCATACAAAAATTTCCAAAACTACTTAACCGATTGCTTTAGAATTTTACCACCGTATAGTATAACAAAAAATTTCTTTCCAACATTGTTACCTTTATTTTTTTGGAAAGTAGTACTTTAAATATAAAAAATACTCTTACTACAGGAAAAAGTTCTCCCTGTTATCTTAAACTGTCCATAGTGTCAACCCAAACACAATTATCTAAAATAATATCTGTGCAAAAAGGTCGAACTTCTGGTCGAACGCTTTCTAGATTTTATTTACAGAGTTTTGTGTCTATATCCCGAATCGGTGGATTGCCACAATGACGTCACGCCGATCGGCACATTTGCTTGAAATATTAAAATGAGACATGTTTATTTTATTACTTCCCGAGCGTAAGCAAAGGAAGTATTGTAATCGAGTCCGTCGGCCGACTCTCTACTTTTACGTTTTCTCGATCTTTCATGACCCCTAGAAGACGATGAAATAGGTCTCCCATTTCCGTCTGTCTGTCCGTCTGTCCGTCTGTCCGTCAGTCCGTCTGTCCGTCCGTCCGTCTGTCCGTCTGTCCGTCTGTCCGTCTGTCCGTCTGTCCGTCTGTCCGTCTGTCCGTCTGTCTGCGGTCCCGGATTTTTATTAGACAGAATCTCCGAAAGTACTGGACCGATTGTTGTGAAATGTTGTACTTATATTAGGAATGTCATGTAGATGGTAAAACGCTAACTAAAATTTGTCTAATCATCCCCATCACTTATGAGATGACGTCACTTCAAAATCATAGTAAATGGGTTTTAAATTGTATAAAATAACATAGTCCTACATCTGTAGTTTACGACTCCGAATTGAGTTTTTACCCGAAACGTCCAGATTTTTGGAAAAAAATTTAAAATTATAAAACAAAGGTAAATGTTATTTAAATTTTATAAAATAACACATATATCCAAATTTTCGCAAAAAATCCAAATGGTATAATAACATTTTATACAGTACTGGAGGAATCCGGAGTACTGGCCGGCGAGGTCAGTTGATGAAGCGTCGTGCTAATAACGCGATGGTCGTGGTTTCGATCCTCCTATTGGCCACTTTTTTTTTCTTACACTGTGACTGGTATTATCCATGTATTTTTTAACTCAGGTATATATTTTTTAATATGATTAAAATGGTTTACTTTTTCATTTAAAAAATTACCTTTAGACACGTCTTTCCTTGCCTCTGAGGTACAACCACTACAACTTTAGACAACCATTTTTTTAACGATTTATTTAAATAGATTTTGACAAGTATAAAGGTAACTCTGCTCGAAATAAATGCATACTTTTCTGAAATGATGGAAAAAATGCTGTAAATACCAAAACTCGAAGTCATGGCGTCTCACGTCCACAGCGAACATTCTGGCGCTTAGGAGCACGCCATATATTACAACGACGTTGATATTATGGTATTTATAGATCAAGTGTGCTGGTGGAACAACAGAATAATAAAACCATAATAAAAAATGTAAATTTTAATCCACGTGTTATAATCATTAAATCAATATTAATGTGTTATCTAACTTTAAAAAGAATTCGATATGGGGGCTCCAAGATAAATAGTAAATTTCATTCAATGAATTTTATTTGTTTTTACAATAGCTCGTATGTGTGACGTTAAAATATACATACACAGAGGAGCGCGGTTTACTTAGCAAAACTGGGATAAACTGGATTTTTTTTAATATTCGTCATAATGATACTCCGATAATTTTAAAGTGCACCTAAAATTTAAAATAGGACAGAGTAATCGGTTAAATAATTTCGAAAGTTATCTGTCTAACAAAATTGCAATCAAACGACCGACATGCGGAAACGGGAAACCTACTATTTTCGTACTGCACCAGCTTTGAAACGTCAAAACAACTGAAGAAGCAAAAGGACGAAATTCTTTGCAAGTATTTGGACATTATCAAGAAATATGCGGAAGCTACAGAAAAGTTTACAATTTTCGAAACATCGGTGCGATATTTTATAACCCGTTCCATAAACAACACATTCTTTGTAATAGGTGAGAATAAAAAGGAAAAGCTTCCATTGAATTCCACGTTATTCGACTACTCAGCATACGTTAGTTTTCCAAAAGAGATTTCTTTGTAGTCTGCACCTACCTTCTGGATCCTCTCCATCCAAAAGTGTGTCTAACTGTTTGTCGTCGTACGTCTGCCCTAATGTAGTCAAAATAGTGCGAACCTTCTCTTTCTCAATGCTGCCCTTTTTGCCGGAATCGAACATGGAAAACGCCCTCTTCAGCACTGCAACAAAGAACAAATCAATCGCGTTGAATAGCATCCAAAGGTAAACATCGCATTCTAAGAGTTATTTCTTAGTCACCAAGAATTCGGGCGCCAGATGCTCCCATATAAAAATAACAAGCAAGCCTCGGGACGAGCCGATGACAGAAAAATATAACGAAAATTTTCATATTTTTTAATCCCCTCGTCTCCTTGATCGGATTATTTAATTTATTCGCACGTCCCAAATATTCGGATATTTTGGGAACACCCCAACAGCCGCTCCAAGACCCATTTTTCCCACAACAAAACCCGAAGATGACCGTCAATTCGCTAAAAATTTAATTGCTTCGTTTTTAGACACTTCTTCTTCCCCTTTTTGTGCTCGCTGCTCGGACTGATTGCTGATCGCAAAGGCGCCGTTATTTTTTGATTGGCTGGTGATAAAAACGCGACCTACTTTGATGTTTCGGTTGCAGCTGTACGGCATCGAATGCGGCGGTGGTGTGGGGACGGAGGTATTAGATGATTAAAAACAACGAAAAACCGGAAAACAAAAGAAAGTCGTTACAGTGATACAGTGGCGAGATTAAAATGGGGCGCTTTTACGGGTGGGGTATTTATTGGGTGCTGGATGTTTGCTGCCTACGGAATACATTTAAATTACGCTGTTGTGAATTGGCTAACGAATGTGCGTAGGGGAGATTGGGGTATCGCGCTTTTGAATTTCGCTGCAGAGGGCATGTTTACATTCTGACGGTGATTAAGCAGAGAACCCTAAGTAGTTGTTCAGTGGCGACAGGACAGATTGTATATGCAGGATTTTTAGCGCATTTTTCGATCAGTGATAATAATAATAAAAAATTACTTAAGAAACACAAGAATTATTAAAAAATAATATTACTGTTGGGACACAACGTTAATATAATACGTAAATTCGTTTTACTTTACTTAAGAACAGTTATTTGAAAGGTGCTTATGGCTTACCTTCCATAGACCTACTTAATTTTAATGTTTTGAAATAATTTTTCCGGTCTAGTTTCGTGATTATAATAGATTATGATCTTAATTTAGAATAGTTATCGGAATGTGTATAAATTTATACGAGGCAGTATGTTGAAGAGTTTAAGATTTCTAAAATGTTCCTTACAATCCTATTGGTAATGGGTTTACCCATGATTTAACGGCTCTTCTTTGAAGTTTGACACCACGAGGGAAAAAATCCATGCCACAAGGTAATAATAAATAACAGTTGTAAGACATTTTCTGGAGAGTTTCTTGCTTAAATTATGAAATAAGTACATACTTTTTGATATTTTACTGGCCAACAACTATTTCGCTATTTGTTATTATATTCGGTTTTCACAATCATTTTAATTGTTTTATTCTTATTTAAACATGATCGGTTACTGATAATCAATTTTCTGGGCGAGATACTAAATTTTTCTTTATTTTCATAGAATCAGCAGATACTTCCGCATTGTTTACAGGTGATCCAAAAATGACGCACTAACTCTATGACATGTTGTTAAGGATAGTTTATTGAGCAAAGAAAAAATAATTTCAAAAATCCTTAGGTCCAAATCAGATTTTCATTATCATGTTTTATCCATAGCTTTCTTTAATTTATAATATTAAAAAATTTTAAAAATTTCGAGAATGTATCTGACAACAGTGGCTAATTTCTCACATTTTTAGCTCCCGAGCGTAATCTAAGGAAATATTATGACAGAGTCCATCGAGAAATTGGCTACTTTCATGTTTTCTTAACGTTTTATGACTTATGGTGTACAAAAAAAATAGGTCTCGCGTTTCCGTCAGTCGGTCATCTGTGGATTTGTATCAATTTTTACTATACCGAACCGATTGTATATAATTGTATACAAATTTTGTATATATTTTAGGAATCTATTGTACAGGGGAAAACGCTAATAAAAATTTGTGTAATCATGGCTACCAACAGCGGGAATTTTTACCCTAGGTTTTTGAAAAAAATAATCAAAATTGCATGATAACTTTTTGTAATTTTTCTTTGAAACTTCAGAACCGAAAACTCCTAAATGTAAACACTGTAAATTGTTAATCAAAATTTACCCGCTTATGTTCTCCCAAAAATTAGTGACGTCAAAATATGCAAAATATTATGAATTGGGATGACTCAAAAAATAATGTTCCCGAAAATTTGAGTATACACTAATGTTATTATTAGTGTGATAATTTAGGTATTTATCCAAATCGATATATGTGTCTTTTCTAAGTGTTGATAACGTTATCACAAAATTTTGTTATGAGAAAACTCACTTGGAATACACGCACAGCATGCTTGTTTATGTGTACTTAGAGAGTTCATACATATCTTTATTTTAAGTTATGTGGGTTATAAAAAAAAAATAAAATGCGCAAAAGTTAATTTTATACATATAAGTACATATTTCGAACCATGTTTTGTTCGCCTGTACTTCAGGAGCGTGAGAAATTCGGTCTAAAGAACTTTAAACCTATTTTTCAATATATCTAAATCGATATTTTGTTTTTGCTAGTGAACGTCAAATAATTCCAAGTAATTTTTTAATGATTTTTCTCGAATTTAAACATGATGTGAACTTTTTGAAGCACCTTGTATAGAGGTGTTATCAGCTTTACAGTGTAAGATCCCAGTAAAATTGCTTCTTTTGAAAATTTGTGTAACTTTTCGAGAGTGCTAAAGCCAAATGTGTTGATAACAATTTCTTTATTTTTAGATATATAACATTTTTGTTCAGTTTTTTCCAAAATTTCTGGAATTATTGGCGGAAAGCAAATCGGATATTTGCCATTTTTGACCATGAATACAAAGTTTTGACTGTTTTCTGCTTTGTTTGATCTAGGTAGTAATTGTGATGGATAATGCTAGATGTAATTACATTTTTTTTTAATAATTCGCTAAAATCCACTCATTTAAATTTCAAATTCGTTTCTTGAGCATAAAAATTTAAATTATACCTTTATGTATAGTAAGTACTTTAACAGCCTCACTTTGACGAATGTTTAATTTTCTTTTGACGTTTTAACGCTTTATTTTATTATTAAATATTATTTATTGTTTTTGAGACGAAGTGCGCAAGTGACTCATCGTTGGTGACGTGGCCGAGCGGCGTTCGAAAAGCCTGGAAGCAGAAGTCGTGACGAGAAAGAAGTATGTTTTTAAATAGAAACCGCCTTCGGGAACCATTACTATTCAGTCGAGTTGAGTACAATGAGTGTCGAGAAAACCCAGTGAAGTTGCACTGGATTTATTTTGTACATAATCGCTGTGTAATCAGTCGTGGAAATTTGAGCTATTGAGAAATAAAACTTTGAGTTTTACCCACGCCAATTTTATTCACCGATCAACGTAACAATATTTTCATTTCCCTCTGTCCAGGCTATAACCGTAGTTTTTTTTCAAAAATGCCAACACAAATACAATCGCAATAATGTTATTTTGAAGATCTGTATTGAAATATTTTATGGAGAGATAAACAAAGGCATTCAGTTTGTTGTGGTATCAATTAAATTACATTTTAATGTACCGAGTGTTTACAAAAAATCTAAAGCGTCATATTTTTCGAATGTCCATATTTCGATTTTTTCAAATAGGAAAGTCGAAAAACTGAAAAACCGCGAAATCAAAACATCGAAAAATCGAGAAATGGAAAATTCGAGACGTCGAAAAATCGGGAAATCGAAAAGTGGAAAATGTAAATCTAAAATTAAAAATTACAAAAAACTGAAATGACGAAAAATTGGGAACTTGGAAAACTGGAAAAGTGAAAAAATCGAAAAACCGAAAATCGAATCGAAAAAGCGAGAAATCAAAAAATCGAAACATCCAAAAATTGAAAAAACTCGAGAAATCGAAAAATTGGAAAGTCGAGAAGTCGAAAAACATCGGAAAATTTTAAATTTAAAAAATATTGATAAATAGAGAAAGAGAAAAATTGAAAAACTGAAAAACTGAAAATTCGAAAATTTTCAAAATCGAAAAATTAAAAAACCGAAAAATCAAAACTGAGTAGTCGAAAAATCGAAAGATGGGGAAATTAAAAAACCGAAAAATCAAAACTGAGAAGTCGAAAAATCAAAAGCTGTGAAATCGAAAAGTCGAAAGATTGGGAAATCGAGAAATCGAGAAGAAATCAAGAAATCGAAGAATCTAAAATTTAAAAAATTGAAAAATTAAATGATAGAAAAACTGAAAAATCGGGAAATTGAAATATCAAAAAAATAGAAAAACCAGAAGATGCAGAAATCGAAAAGTGGAAATATCGAAAAAGTAGAAAATCGAAAAAATTGGAGAACCTAAAAACTGAAAAATTCCAAAACTAAAACATCAAAAAATTGAGAAATCTAAAAATTGGAAATCTGAAACATCGAGAAATTAAAAAATTCCACACTGAAATCAGGAAAACTCGAAAAATCTAAAACTTGAAAAGCCGGAAAGTCGAAAAACTGAAAAACCGCGAAATCAAAACATCGAAAAATCGAGAAATGGAAAATTCGAGACGACGAAAAATCGGGAAATCGAAAAGTTGAAAATGTAAAATTTAAAATTAAAAATAAAAAAATTAAAAAAGTCGATAAATTGAAGAATTCCAAAACTCAAATAACGAAAAATTGGGAAATTGGAAAACTGGAAAAGTGAAAAATCGAAAAGCCGGAAATCGAATCGAAAAAAGCGAAAAATCAAATAATCGAAACATAAAAAAAACTGAAAAAACCCGAGAAATCGAAAAATTGGAAAGTCGAGAAGTCGAAGACCATCGGAAAATTTTAAATTTAAAAAATATTGATAAATAGAGAAAGAGAACAATTGAAAAACTGAAAAACTGAAAATTCGAAAGTTTTCAAAATCGAAAAATTAAGAAAAAGAAAAATCAAAACTGAGTAGTCGAAAAATCGAAAGATGGGAAATCGAAAAGTTGAAAAATTGGAAAATTAAAAAACCGAAAAATCAAAACTGAGAAGTCGAAAAATCAAAAGCTGTGAAATCGAAAAATCGAAAGATTGGGAAATCGAGAAATAGAGAAGAAATCAAGAAATCGAAGAATCTGAAATTTAAAAAATTGAAAAATTAAAACATAGAAAAACTGAAAAATCGGGAAATTGAAATATCAAAAAAATTGAAAAACCAGAAGATGCAGAAATCGAAGAATTAAGAAATCGAAAAGTGGAAATATCAAAAAATTGAGAAATCTAAAAATTGAAAATCTGAAACATCGAGAAATTAAAGAATTCCATACTGAAATCAGGAAAACTCGAAAAATCTAAAACTTGAAAAGCCGGAAAGTCGAAAAACTGAAAAACGCGAAATCAAAACATTGAAAAATCGAGAAATGGAAAATTCGAGACGGCGAAAAATCGGGAAATCGAAAAGTTGGAAATGAAAAATTTAAAATTAAAAATAACAAAAAATTTAAAAACCAAAAAATCAAAACTGAGAAGTTGAAAAATCGCAAGATGGGGAAATCGAAAAATTGAAAAATTGGAAAATTGAGGAGTCAAAATACTAAAAAATGTTTTTTAAAGAGTATATCATTTGCCAAAATCAGTCTTATTTTAGCAAGTACTAGCCCCGCCCTCCCGCCCTTTTTTTTTTTAGAGGCTATGTCATTTGCCAAAATCAGTCGTACTTTAGGAAGTACGAGCCCCGCCCACCCACCCTCTATTTTCTTAAAGAATATGTCATTTGCCAAGAACAGTCTTATCTTAGTAAGTACTATTACTGTATGTTACTTTATTTCTTACTTTCATTCTCTCAATATGTCAGTGTGTCAACTTTAAATACAGAAAATACTTAACAAGAAATAAAGAACAAATAATATTTTTTTAGAAACACTCTCTCTATTAAGACTCAGTTTTATTTGTACCACAACAAGCGTGTAACTTTATTTATCGTTCCACAATATATAACACAGATTTTAAAAATAACCCTAGTGTGATTTCTTTTTTCTTCTCTGGTCATAAAGGCTGAGAAGAGGTCAATCGCAATATATAAAAATATATAAAGTACTTTATTAAAAAAAAAAAAATGGTTAAATATTAATTAAACACAATTTCTCTTGCCCCTGAAGCACTCTCTGACAAATCCCGCGCTTTGTAGGTTTATAAAATTTAATAAATAAAGGTTAATTTACAATTTGGATTTTTTGTCGAAAATTTGATGCCATGCTAAACGATCAAGATAGATTCATAAACCCTAAGTACAGGAGTTTGTTATTTTCTAAAACTTAAATGACATTAACTAAAAAAATAAAATTAAAGGGACGTTATCAATTTGTTAGTGGGGATCGTTAGCCAAATTTTGGCTAGTGGTTTACCATCTAGGTAATATTCTCAATATATCTACATACAAAAATTTAACAACAATCGGTCCAGTAGTTTCTGAGATTATCTGCTAATAAAAAATGACACAGATGATAGACAGACAAACAACAGACCATAGACAAACGGAAACGGGAAACCGCATTTTTCGGACTCTTGGAGACACGAAACGTCAAGAAAACATGAAAGTTGACAGTCGCATGCTCACGCTTGGCAAGCAAAAACTAACTTGTGCATTACGCCTTAAAAATGGAACACTCTGTATATACTTGAAAATAATTTTAGTGTATCGTCCTGAAAGAACTGTATAACTTTAATATTTGGCATTTTGTTACACTTCTAGTAACTAATGAGATATCGAGGAAAGCGCCCTCAGTGACTCACCCTGTATATTAAAAATGCTTTGTGAGTTAAGATAAAAAATTTGTACTTATTGTCTAAAACAAGTCTAGCTAATTTTACATGACATGTTAAAATTCCCATATTTAATTTCACCTGTTCTTAGCGTTTTTAACATTTAAAGGACAAAAGTATACATTTTGTTATTTTGTCTGTCATCAGTCTGTCTGTTGGAAATTTATGGTCTTCGAAATTGTAAAACTAGTTATCGTAAAATTTTACGCATGTTTCGAAATTTTCTTGTATGTGATAACACGTAGATCAAAATTGTTTTATTCCTTCTTTCCAAAAAATTGGGTTTTTAAAAAATTAAGTTTGTAGAAACAACTGTAATTTATCTATCCCATTAACATAGTATTATTGAATTTTTAGTGTATCAGTCTTGATTTACGAATTACAGAACGTTAAGTTTACTTATTGATCCAGCCTAGAAAGCTGATGACGTCACTTTACGGAACTTATAAATACACCTTTATCAAAAAGTATGTTGTCAAATACGGTATTCATTGTCTTTTAGAAATGAAGCTTTTTAAAAGAAGAATTAATATATGAATTCATATATATAATTACTTTATCGATTTTCTCAGAAACCGCTCACCTAATTTTCCTGGAATTCTACAAACGCAAACAGACTATAATTGTTGTTACATTGTATATTATCAAAATTAATATCTACATCTCCATCAAAAAAGTTAATGGACTCGGTTCAAGAAATTCTTAGAAAACCGTATTTAAAAAGCTTATTCTCAAATGTAGCTTTACTTGTGATTTAATTAACAAGCGTCAACTTCCCTTTAATTGAGCCAAAAAAGTAGATTTATGGTGAACTATGTGATGACACAAAAAGGAGTTCATTTACGCAAAAGAAACTCAATACATGTAATTTTAGATGAGAGTTTAATTTTAAATAATTTTTAAAAATGCTTGTAAATATTCACCCAATTATCACATAATTCTAGTCGCTAAAATTTTGGCACAGTTATAATCTTATTTTCTGACAATCTATTTCTTATTATTCAATGAATTAGTCTCAGCTTATTTACCACAATAAAACAAAATCCACTTAGACAATTTGGCTTAGATTTCATCGAAATTTCAATTGGCAACAAAGTCGCTCAAATATTTACACTTTACTGTACATTATAAACTTATTAGCTAAATTATACTTTAACGAATTTAACAAAATTTGGCTTTAATGTTCTCTAGTTGCATTTCCTTACTTAATCGAATTTAATTAAAAAGTTTGGTGAATGGTGGCAGCGTTCTATGATAAAATTGTTACGAAAAATAAAAGTGAAATGTTTGAGAGCCACTGCTATTAAAGTAAACTTGTCCTGAAAAGTTATGAAAAATGTGATAAAACTTTTGCACCCTTTTTTTCTCAGGAAAAGTTGCGACTTCTATAAAATACTATGTGGTTCCCATCACTTAATAAACCTAAAAAAACCTCGATTGTGTTCGACTTTCTCACCATTATGTCGTTTTCAGCTAAAAAGTCCCTCGATATGAAACTTACATCAATGGCTGCCAACATGTTTTATTTATTCGCGTCGCGAATAAAGTGAATTGGAAACGCAAATCTAAATTGGAAAGTAATTTTAGTGTTCTGTTGGTGGTTTTTTACGATTAGCCACAACACACGAAATGACGTTTATAATTCAGATATGTACTCTTAAATGTCAATCTTTGTTACTTGAACATGGAATTTTTCTATTGGGTGTGTCGCCACAGTTTTTTTTTTGTTTTTCTAGAACCACGTATGCTCGTACACGGCAAGCTCATTACCTGTATAATACATTAATAGCTCAACTAATTAATGTTAATCCCTCGTGATGCGTAAATATAAAATCGATAAAACACAAAATGTTTGGTCGCCACATAATGAGCTTTATACTCTTCTAATAAACATTACAAAGAACAACTAATCGACTTTATTACTGATAAAACAACCCCAACTTTATAAAATCTGCATAAGCCCCCATATAATAAAATTTATGTTTGTTGGTGAACTGTTATGTGTTTTTTGTCGTTATCTATAAAACAGTTGGCATAAAACCCGAGTTAATTGTTTTATTGAAGAGGCACTTGAAAATGTTTATGGCTGTTCCTAGTTTCGAAAAATTAAAAAATAACGGCGACAGGTCGGCCGAACACGAGTCTGAAATATCCGATATGAATTATTAGCAAACATTACACTAATGTATAGGCCCAAAAATAAAAAATAAATGATTTTGACCTTCGGATACTTGGCTGATTTTGGAAAATCAATTTTTCATAACATCAGATGACAGCAAATTATAGTTTATTTATAAATGTGGAACTGCGTCGCGCAGATTTAATGAATTTTTCAAAAAAGCCCCACTTTAAGGTATTTGTTTGGTTTCTAAATTTTGTCAATAGTTGTTCGTGTACTACAAACGACGAAATTACTTGTCAGGGTGTTTGGTAGTTGAAAAAAAATCAAAAATGGTCATTTCAAGGTATTGAAATTTTTTCAAAATATTTTCCAAATTTAAAAAACTGTGACAAAAATAAAATTTTGGCTAAGAATGTCTTTGTTTTGAAATAAATCAAGCAAATCCAACCCATGCATATAATTCAAGCGTTACTTACGATTGACTTTGTCATTATCCAATCCGTCGGCCTGAAACAGACGAAACGGATTCAAGATTAATATCCAGGGCGGGCTTAATGATTAGTAAAATATCGAAGACACGGATAGATGTTGGATTGAAACTGTAACGTGTTTCTGCAAAATCCGTTTAATTACACTCAATATCCTGCCACGTCTCAGTTTATAATAAATACATCGCTTATCTGAGACAGTTTCCGGACACGAGATATAAATTTGCCCGGAGTAGTCCGGGCGGGAAAGAAAAATATTCCCAAGAGTTCATAGTGTAGGGAAAACCCCCATAAATCCACGCACTACTAACCATTGTGATTAAAAAACAAAACTATAATAACATCAACACGCAGAACCGGACCTATACACACAAGACTGATCCTCCTTTCGGGCTGATTTCACTCTTTATAATGGCTCAGGGGGGCTCTTGGGATGCTGTTGCACACCCGCATAAGAAACTTTAATAAGTTAGAGGCGGGATTTTATATTTAGAGATCGCAATCGACTATACTTTAAATTATAGGTGTTGTGTCGTCGGAGAATTTGGCGATTCTTTTGGATTTTCCTCTCATCATGTTGGCAGCACCGCGCTCAATTGGAGCGTGCCGTGTTAACAAGCGTGATGTTCGCTGTCGTCGACGGGAATTTTCTTTGACACCGGACGCTAAGAATAGAAAGAGAGAGAATGATTAAAAACGCCACAATACCCGGAAAATCGAATGCGATTTCTCGGATGCTTATTGTGTGCGGCGGCATTATTTTTGTCGCGGTATGCACTTGGTGGTATTTACGGGACAGGTCAGTGTCTTCGCGGATAAATGCGGATTGGGCCGGATTCGGGCTTTTTTGGAAAACTACCGCCGATGGGACGCTCAAAAATCGATTTAATGGGGCCAATAAAAAAGTGGGTCATAAACAATTGAGAAACCACTCAAAATAGGCGCAATAAAAAATGAATAACCCTCTTGGAGCAGATGTTTGGAGTTATGGTTCTCGGTGGAATAAAAATGGCGAAAAAATGAGGAGAAAATAGACTTCTTGGAAATTTATGTGTGTCTTGTAGCCTTCTAATAGTTGGTCACTGTGATTGCAAAAGCGGGGCTCGTGTTCAGTGATATCTCAAAAAATTATTGTCGGGTGGAAAGATTTATTTTTCTCGGGTCTTTTTGCACTGTTTTATGTGGAAACATCTGTCGTTCGATGTGTACTTCAAAAAAGTATTATGTCAATTAAAAAGAACGATGACAATTTGAAAAATGAAAAAACATGGACAGTGGGTTTTATTTCAAAACACATTATGCAGAGAAAACATTTTAAATGATGGCGAATCTATAAAAAAAATCAGCTGGAGAAACTGTTCATAAAAATCGTTGCTTCCATCGTTTAGGATTTTTGAGACTCGAATCCAAATTACATAATCATATTTTAAACCACTATTGAATTACTAACGCGAATGCTGGTATCGATGCTAAAACTCACTAGAAACACAGGCATAACCTTGTGCTTTGTCATATTGTTTGACCGTTTACCCGATTTTCCCACACTCCGTGCCAGACCAAATAAAAACCAGTTAAGAGGCATCAAAGACAGTGGCGGTGATTAAAGTATGATACATTAATGAATACAGAAAAACCCGCTCTACAAGAATATCTAAAAAAATTGGTCGAAGGTTATTTCGACAGAACTTCCGTCGCCCCTGAATTTCAAAACCAGTGGCCTAAATAATACTCCCACAGCCCAACCAAAGTCCGTACAAGTGCGGACAATATAAAATATATTTAAACCAAATAACCAACGGGAAAAAATCAACATCGGAAATTCGATAAAGCGAGAAATTGAAAATTGAAAAATTAAGACATAGGAAAATCGTAAAATCGAAAATTTTAAGAATCAAAGAAATGAAAAGTCGAAAAATTGAGAAACTAAAAACTGAAAAATTTCAAAATACAAATGATGAAAAATCGAAAAAACTTCAGAAATCGAAAAAAACAGGTATAAACAAGTTAAAAGAGTGTGTCTGCATAACATAATGCGTTCGAATCAAAGGTATTGGCGGTGACTAAAGCATGATACATTAATGAATACAGGAAAACAAGTTCTACAAGAATATCTAAAAATTGGTAGAAGGTTTCGACAGAACTATCCTCGCCTCTGAAGCACTAAACCAGTGATATAATAATACTCCCACAGTCCGCCGAAAGTCCATACAAGTGCGGACAGTATGAAATATATTTAAAGTAGATAACCAGCGGGAAAATATGCTTTTCAAAAAATCGAAATATCGAGTAATCGAAAAATTAAAACATGGGAATATCGACAAAGCTCAGAAATTGGGATATCAAAAAATTTTCAAAAATCGAAAAATCGAAAATGGAGAAATAGATCAAGGAGCAATGTTGGGAAATCAAAAAAAAAAGTAAAAAAAAAATTAAAAGTCGAAAGGCCGAGATGTCAAAAAAATTAAACATCAGAACATTGTAAAATTGAAAAATTGAGAAACCGAAAAAATGTAAAATATAAAAAATCGAAAAATTATAAAAAAAAAACTGAAAAAAAAATTAAAAAATTCGGAAAATTAAAAAATTGACAAACATATCGAAGAACTGAAAAATAGAGACAATCTAAAATTTAAAAAATTGAAAAAATTAAAATACCGGAAAATTGAAGAATCGAAAAATTAAAAAAATTTAGAATTTAAAAATCAAAAAATTGAAAAATCAGAAAATCGAAAAATCGAGAAATCGAAAATCCAAAATTTAAAAAGTCGGAAAATTGAGAAACTGAAAAACTGAAAAATCGAGCAATTGAAAAATTCCAAAACTGAAATGACGAAAAATTGGGAAAATAGAAAAATCGTAAAACCGAAAAATTGGAAAATCGAAAAACCGAGAGTTCGAAAAATCGAAACACCGGAACATTCAAAAATCGAAATATCAAAAGATCGAGAAATCGAGAAAGTCGAAAAGTTGAAAAACCAAAAATTGCGAAATTGAAAAATCTAAAAATCAAAAAATTTTAAAAATCGGAAAACCGAGATGTCAAAAAAGGAAACATCAGAAAATTGTTAAATTGAAAAATTGAAAAATATAAAATATAAAAAATCGAAAAATTGGAAAATCAAAAAATTTAACAATAAAAAATTTAAAAATTCGAAAAATTGAAAAATTGTCAAATAGACATACCGAAGAACTGAAAAATAGAGAAATCGGGAAATCGGACAATCTAAAATTTAAAAAATTGAAAAATTAAAATATCGAAAAATTGAAGACTCGAAAAATTAAAAAAATTTAGAATTTAAAAATCAAAAAACTGAAAAATCGGAATGTCGAGAAATCGAGAAATCGAAAATCCAAAACTTAAAAAGTCGGAAAATTGAGGAACTGAAAAATCGAGATTTTGAAAAATTCCAAAACTGAAATGACGAAAAGTTGGGAAAATGGAAAAATCGAAAAACCGAAAAATTGGAAAATAAAAAAACCGAGAAATCGAAAAATCGAAACATTGGAACATTCAAAAATCGCAATATCAAAAGATCGAGAAATCGAGAAAGTCGAAAAGTTGAAAAACCAAAAATTCCGAAATTGGAAATCTAAAAATCAAAAAATTTTAAAAATCGGAAAACCGAGATGTCAAAAAGGTAACATCAGAAAATTGTAAAATTGAAAAATTGAAAAATATAAAATATAAAAAATTGAAAAATTGGAAAGTCAAAAAATTGAACAATAAAAATTTTAAAAATTCGAAAAATTGAAAAATTGTCAAATAGACATCCGAAGAACTGAAAAATAGAGAAATCGGGAAATCGGACAACCTAAAATTTAAAAAATTGAAAAATTAAAATATCGAAAAATTGAAGACTCGAAAAATTGAAAAAATTTAGAATTTAAAAATCAAAGAACTGAAAAATCGGAATGTCGAAAAATCGAGAAATCGAAAATCCAAAACTTAAAAAGTCGAAAAAATGAAAAGTCGGAAAATTGAGGAACTGATAAACTGAAAAATCGAGAAATTGAAAAATTCAAAACGAAATGACGAAAAGTTGGGAAAATGGAAAAATCGAAAAATCGAAACATTGAAACATCACAAGATCGAGAAATCGGGAAAGTCGAGAAGTTGAAAAACCAAAAGTGCGAAATTGAACGCCAAAATCGAAAATCGGGAGGTTAAACATTGGTAATTTGAAAAAATGTAATTAAAAAATAATCAAAAAATCGAAAAATTGAATAATCAAAAAATCAAAGCTTCCAATCAATAAATCCATAAATCGAAAAATTCAAAAAGTGAAAAACTGAAAAATCGAAAAATTATAAACGGAAGAATTGCAAAACCGAAAAATCTAAAATTTAAAAAATTATATCGAAAAATAGAATCACCTAAAAATTAAAAAAAACTAAAATTTAAAAACCGAAAAATTGAAATATAGTCAAATCGGAAAGTCGAAAAACTGAAAAATCGAAATATTGAAACATCGAGAAAGTACAAAATCGGGCAATTGACTCAAAAATTGCGACATTGAAAAGTCGAGACAAAATCGAGTAATTGAGAAACGAGACAATTATTGGAACGTCAAAAATTGAAAAATTGAAAAACCGAAAATTTAAAGAGTCGGAAAATTGAAAAATGGTAAAACTGAAACATCGAAAATTAAAAAGATGAAAAATGAAAAAATCGAGCAATCGAAAACTTGAAAAATCGAGAAATTGAAGAATCCAAAAATGGAAAAGTTAAAAAAAAATTAAAATCGAAAAACCGAGAAATCATAAGATCAAAAAGTCTTAAAAACGAAAAATTAAAAAAAATAGAAAAATGAAAAATTTAAAAAATCGAAAAATTGGACAATCAAAAAACTGAAAAATAAGAAATTTGAATATTGAAAAAACTGAAAAATCGAAAAACAGAAATATCGACGAACTGAGAAATAGAGAAATCGAAAATTGGACAATAAAATATTTAAAAAATTTAAATATTGAAAAACCGAGGAATCAAAAATCCAAAATTTTAAAAATCGAGAAACTGAAAAATCGAAGAATTGAAAAATTTCAAAACTAAAATAACTAAAAATTGAAAAATGGGAAAATTAAAATATCGGAAAATTGAATAATCGAAACATGAAAAAATCAAAACATTGAAAAATTCAAAAATTGAACCATCAAGAAATTTAAACATCAGAAATCGAAAATCGAAAAGTCGAAAAATCAAAAATTGGAGAATTGAAAAAAATTTAATTAAGAAGAAGTCAATAAACCGAAAAATCGAATAAACAAAAAATCGAAGCCTCGAAATCTCGATAAATCGAGAAATCGAAAAATTCAAAAAAAGAAAAACTGAAAAATCGAAAAATTGAAAAATCGAAAAATCAAAAATTTTAAAAATCGAAAAATTGAAAAACCGAGAAATCCAAACATAAGAAGTCGAAAAATCGAAAGATTGAGAAGTTAAAACATCAAAAAACTGAAAATCTAAAATTTAAAAATTCAAAAAATTGAAA